TATCAGAATAACTGGAGTGCTGGGGTCTTCTGGGAGATGGAATCCACCCGAGCTGAAATAGTGAGCAAGTCAAGTTTTCTAAGATATAGAATACAGAAAGCTAAAATGCATTTTAATGAGATTTGCAGTACCGGTGAACGAAGCAGGGAACCATGTGTCCTCTTTTGATGGTGTTAAGCCATGTGCTGCAGGTGCCAAAATGCATTGGGCCCTTTCCACCTGCAATAAAACAGAACAGAACATTATCCTCACATCTGGCTTTTGATTATGAAATTATTTAATGTCTTTGTTATGTCTTTCATACCCTGGGTGTGGTACTCCACCACAGATACAGATGACGGTCCAGTGAGGAGCTGACCGAGTACAGACTGGGCTTCAGGAGAGGAAGCTGGCTGAGAAGGAAGGCTTTAGAGATTTAAATTCTTCGAGCACCTCCAAGAAGGTGGGCCTGTAGAAGTCTTCCCATGTAGAATATTCCTGGAAATCCTATGGAGAGATGGAGGACGGCTGTGAATGCATCGACTGGAAATATGTGTAATTTCGTACAAAATCATAAACAACTGCCCTATTTAAATTCTTATAAAGGACGAATGTAATGCAATTTCCGATGCAAGTGCTTCAAGTCGTTTGCAATCCTCTTCCTGACCCGCAACTGTAGAGAGTTTGCACAGCAGGCTTTGCGAAGGTGGAGTTGTGACATCAAGGAAGCACGTAAGAGCCTGAACCAGCGTGCAAACAGGGATACGTTCATGTGTCTGCCATCTCTTTTCCTCTGAAAGACACCACAGGAAAGAGGCATAAAAATAAGCTTAGATTTTGAGGCCCAACAGAAACACTTCTCAACTATATTTGTAGATAGTTTATTAGAACTGACATTAGTGACCATGGCTAGAGTCTGAAAGGGACTCCAGGTGGAGGCTTTGGTTAACAGGAGCAGCATCTTCAAGATACCATCCACCAGCTCTGGAGAATTCTCTGGAAAAAATCCCCACATGATCTCCAGGGGCAAAATTCAAGGCCTCTGTGTTTCCATCCGTCTTCAGCTCAACCAGGATAGTAGAACGACTGAAAAAACGAATAAATAAGTAAAAACATTTAAAAAAAAAACATTTACAAGTTTGGTAAGTAGTGAAGCTGTAGAATCAAACCTTGACTGAGCGCTCTGCAGTTTCTGCCTTCTTTTCAGCGTCATAGAAAACAGTTTTAGAGTGAAGAGCAGACAGTGCTGTAAAAACAGATTCATGTGTTGAGTTATTAGGGTTTTGATAAGTAGAGGTAGAGATGTACCTGTAATTCGGTCCGGAGTGTAACGGTCATGCTGCACTCTGTATCTCTGTGGATCCCAGTCGTCTGACTGTTGCTCAACAGCTTTCAGCTGTTTTTTAGTGTTAAACTCCTCACATGCATCCTTAAATTAAAAAAACATATGTGTCATTTGTCATAGTATTAGCAGATTGATTTATTTGATTTACTGAATCATAATTTCCAAGCACCGAGGGAAATCTCACCAACCTTAAAAGCAGTGCAAACCCAGGCAGAGAAAGCCTCGTCCTGTCCATTAAGTTCATCTCCCTCTCCTGTGTCAGACGCTTGGCCCCCAGCTCAGCAAGTTTGTCATCCACAGCATGGGCAAAGGCACAGAATTGTGGGTACACACGTGAGCCAAGGCCAAACACACTGTACCTGTAGTGAGAAGAGCAAGTCAGGGCTTCTGCACTACAACAGCATATTTACAGGTGAAGAGTGAAAATCTTTGCAGTTCTAGGCTACACACCTGACAGTGTTTTTCAGTGTTTTCAAGTTGAAAAGCTGCTTCTTGAAGCTCTGAGGAAAAGGAAATATTAATGTAATAGTAATGTACCATGACATGATACATTACATTATGTCATAAAATGATAACATGAACATATTAATGTGTCGATAATGTGTGTAGAATTTGCAAGGAACCAAAATCAATTTTGAATTCCTATGGAAATTATTATTTTTATACACTACTGTTCAAATGTTTGGGGTCAGTTTTTATAATGTAACAAAAAAAATTCTATTTCAAATCAATGTTTTTCTTTTGAACTTCATGTTCATTAAAGAATACTGAAAAGAAGTATCACGGTTTCTACAGAAATATTATGAACTGTTTTCAGCACAGCAATTCTAATATCAGCATATTAGAATTATTTCTGAAGGATCATGTGACACCAAAGACTAGAGTAACGGCAGCTGAAAATTCAGCTTTGTATCACAGTTATTATTTACATTTTAAAATCTATTGAAATAGAAAACAGTTATTTTAAATTGTAATAATAAATATTTTTTATCAAATAAATGCAACCTTGCTGAGCATAAGAGACTTCAAAAATCTTACTGGAAAAAAAGGCCCCAAACTATTGACTTGTAGTGTATTGATTTGATATATTTACATATTATATATAATTATTTGCAATATTATTCCCATACCACTCCATTTCCTGGGCTTTCTCCATTGCCAAAAGTACAAGTGACCACCATCAGAAGGCTTTCTGTCTCAAGCTCACTGAAATCATAGTCCTCCATGCATACCAGCTATATTAGAAAACAAGAATAAATGTTGTTGCTCATATACTGATCTGGTATTATTACAATATTAGAAAAGCATTTTTTAAAGACAGCATTTCTTACCCTGGATTCAAAGGCACGGTTGAGCATGGTGTTCAGTTTTTTGGCAAAGGTCAGTGACTTCCCTGTTTCTGTGGCATAGAGAACAGTGCAGTGCACCCTCTTGGCCACGACTGCTTTGATGAGCGTTTGAGAAAAAAACACCACTCTAAAAAGAAAGAACACAAGTATTTTAATGTAAATGGCATTGGTAGTTGGCATGAATGTAATGCAGTGTTGATTTGTTTGGTGAAGTTGCTGGTCTGTACCTTATGAGTCCTTTGAAGCTGACCTTACATCTCCGAAGTCCTTTCTTCTCATCTTTCCACTTGTGTGTTAACCATGCATCAGCCTTCAAAAACAGCATACATTTACACCACATTTACACTGCTGAAGTCAAAGTTTTCTTTATAAAACACTACCGTTAGGGATTCGTTTGGGATAAAGTTTGATACCTGGTAATAGAAGAAGGGAGAAAGGATGTAGTTGAGCATCTCCTGATGGTACACGGAGGTGAGGGATCCAGACATGGGTGGGACAACCACACCCAATCAGCTGGACAGCCTCCACGCAGACGGACTTCTGTCTCCAAGTGCTGCATGAAGGACTCGCTTGCTGAATGGTGGTCCGTGATGGTGACCTTATTTTTCTGCAGAGCAATGTAACAACATCAAGACCAATAAATATTCGAATGGCTTTATCAACTTTCCAAAATCTATTTTCATGAAAATGATTTCAGAAGCAATAACAGTGAGGCTGCAGCTTCTTGAATCAATAAGCATATCAATATTATGCATATAACAGGACAAAAATGGGAGGACAGTTTACCTGGTAGCTATGAATCACTGCAACACTGATAGCCACAAGTGCCTGGTCTTTCCACAGTGAAGATAGCTTGCGTGTCTCTAAGCCCATTAGCTGGCCAACGTGCTACAAGAAATAAAGCAATAAAAGCAAAACATCAGTATCAAAAGTATCAGGATGTGCTAAGCTATTGTCACGAGACAGTGAAACCGAACTACCTCCAAAATGAATAAATATAACTCTATAAAATTCATGTTACCACAAAAATATGTAGAAAACAAATTTATCCCCGTTCTCTGCAATGACCCAAAACACTTACTCTGGGTGCTCTATTGGGACCTCCAGGATCAGTTCTGGAGGAATATCAAAAACTTCAGGGTCCTCTCCGTTCGCCTGCAGGACCAGTGGAAGCACATCAAAGCGACCATACTTTGGTTTCCATCCCAGCTGAATACACACCTATAGAAATAGTGAAAAATTCCAGAGGAAATTTTAAGACATTGTATAAAACATTGTAAAACAGACATTGTATAAAACATTTTTAAGACATTGTATAAAACAGTGGACATATATTTGTCAGACTCGATGCTTCTATTTTGGTTACCTGTGTAAACTCCACACTCGCTGGGTCCCCGATCACACTTCCATCTTCACCAGGTAGAAATTATCACATCTTTTTTAATGTTAAACACAAGGTGGCAGTATTTGGTGTGATATTGTCACTTCATTCTGAATTTACTTTCTATCTTCATTTTAGTACCATAGTATCATAGTATGCCTTACAACAAAGATTAAGAATCATAAAGGATTATAGGAATTAGAAGAATTCTAGAAGAATTAGAAGAGTAGCCTAAAGTTAGTCAAGACAAAAGATGCTAAATTACCAAAGCTTGACCTGAAAGTTTAAAGCTGTTCTGAAGCTTAAAATCTGAGGATTTTAACAAACTGCCCAGTCAGGCAATACAACAGATTTTGTAGGCTATTTAACCAAATGGGGAATCTTTTCAGGCCTACCTTCACTCGAGTATGTTTTGGGCTAGATACTTGAGTAAAATTCAGACATAATCCATACCTTTACTAAAGTGTAATTTCTTAGTAGGTACTTTTTACATCTGTGGCGACCAAGGTCACCAAACTCTGCCACTCCTCAAACTCTGTTTAATCCAGTCCCCAATTTAGCATGTAACTTTTCTAACTTGAAACGCTCATCGTGTTTGCGTGATTGTGCCATTTTGTCGCGTCAAAGTATCTAGGTAGCGACGTCAGAAATGTAACCTTTTTAATATCCCCACTCTTTTAGGACGAGTTCAACGTTACAATTGTCTGGCCTGCAGTAGCCTACGTGTTTTTGTTGATATACGGCTCATCCGCCAACAGAGGACGCTGTTTTACCTGGCTCATCATCTCGGAAAGTAACTCGGAGCTCATCTGCTCTGGGAATTCAATCACACGCTTTGTCCCAGTAGCCCCTCATGCAGTGAGGACCATCTCCGCTTTGCTGATGCGAGATTAAAGTGGCGAGAGCAGTAGAGTAGTGTACTGTTTGCTATCATCCGTTTTGCTGTTGTAGTTTGTAAGAGAGGAGAGAGTTCATCTGATTTACATGAACGTGACTGTGACAGCGTGGAGCGTCTACAATCCAAACTGCGGCTTGGTCTCAGGTCTGTGAGAATAAACAGCGTTTCTCGGGAGTGAGGGGTCAAGTTAAAAAGTCGCGAATGTTTTGCCGAAATCAGACCGCGAGAGCGACTATCGCACGGGGCTCCGCGCTGGAGATGGAGATCCGCCGTGGAAAGTTCAGACAAAGTGTTTTCATGGAAACCCCGCAGGTAAATGAAGCTCCAGTCATCACTCTGTCCAGAGGCTCGGCTGGACTCTAGTAAATGTGCTAAGTGTAACTTACAGTAAGTAACTTACAGTCGGACGTGTACTCTGTTTTACACTATTATACTATTAATGTTATTTATTTTGGGGTGTTATCTTATATCACTATTTATATTTTTAATTGAGGATATTATACGAAAACGACAGGCAGTGTACGAAGACGTATCTGTTGATTGTGGGCGTGGGCACAGTAGTTTAAATAGGAGATAACGGGACATGTATTTCATACAAACAGAATAAATGACATAATGGTTGAATGACGTGATGTTTTGTATTGTCCGGATTGGTGGTTTATTGTGAGACTTTAAGTCAAAATGTCTAGGTGGTGTAACTGTCCTGAGAGTATAAAAAAGAAAGAAAGTTGAAATTCTCTTGGCATAAGCAGTTTGGCACAGTCTTTTATAGTTATTTATTTAAAAAAACATTTCAGATGATTTCAGATGATAAGACTTGCAGGATGCAACATGCAGGAAGTTATTTTGTACATTTTGAACCCCTGTGACTTGACCCACACTGAGTGTCAAGGTCGTTGAATTAAAAAAATAAATAAATAAATAAAAATAAAAAAATTTTGAAAAGGCATAAGAATGCAAGAATATTAAACAATTAATTTAGTTAATTAATAAAAAAAAACTAAACTCAGTGCTTGGTAGGAAATAATTTCATGTAATCTAGATTACGTAATCAAATGTCCGGATTGGTGGTTTATTGTGAGACTTTAAGTCAAAATGTCTAGGTGGTGTAACTGTCCTGAGAGTATAAAAAAGAAAGAAAGTTGAAATTCTCTTGGCATAAGCAGTTTGGCACAGTCATAGATAGTTATTTATTTAAAAAAACATTTCAGATGATAAGACTTGCAGGATGCAACATGCAGGAAGTTATTTTGTACATTTTGAACCCCTGTGACTTGACCCACACTGAGTGTCAAGGTCGTTGAATTAAAAAATAAAAAAATAAATAAAAATAAAATTTTTTTGAAAAGGCATAAGAATGCAAGAATATTAAACAATTAATTTAGTTAATTAATAAAAAAAAACTAAACTCAGTGCTTGGTAGGAAATAATTTCATGTAATCTAGATTACGTAATCAAAGTAGTCTGATTATATTAGCTGAAATGTGTAATGTAATTATGTTACGAACCACAATTTTTGGCATGTAATTTGGAATCAGTAACGGACTACAATTTGTAAGTAATCTTATCTCATCCAGCACTGCCTATGCTTTCTACCTTGAAAATATTTTAACTTAAAACAATTGATATATATATATATATTTTATAAGAATTAACTTTAGTACTTGATGGTTACACCACTTGACATTTTCAGTCACTAAAACAACATTTTCTTAAAAAATGGTCTAAACTTTTTTTTCATTTTTTTTAAATGTGTGAAACAAACATGAATAGAAAGATTGCATTTCCAAAAACTTTGCACAAATGTTTCAGTATATATTTCTCCTTTCTTATAATTTCTGACATGCTTATTTGTCATTGTCCTCAAGTACACATGATCTTATCAAACACTGCAGTCGATCCCTTGCATTCTTTTAAGGGGAAAGGACTTCATGTCATCTGTATATGATTATCCCAGAGTAGGTTGAGTAAAAAGAACTCTGTCTAACCCCTAATTATTTTTATACGAAGTCTGCTGTGGTGAGATGGAAAGAAGCGTGGTTGGTTCCGAGTGTGGCTGTTGGATGTGTAGAGTCCCATTGGCAGCTCTAAATTCCTTGTATGGCTTGGGTCCATAGTCTTCATTTTGCTTTGGTGACAATATGTTTACGTTTTAGTTGTGCAGGAGGATTTATATCCATGTCAAAAGTTGATTTGACTTTCAGGGATCTTAAATCATGTGCTTATCCTAAATGTACAGGAAAAATCACATGCACTGTGTCACCGCTTTTGGTTCAGTTTTTGTTTATAGTAATGGTTCTCAACTAGGGGACCGGAGCTCTCCAGGACCTTTGGCCTAAAGATGACTTAAAATGATATAAACAATCAAATAAGCTGAAACAACTAAAAATATTTACAAGATATTTCTTATTTTACTCCCTGAACACCTGTTGTTTCCTTTTAAGAACCAGGATTCAAGTCTTGGAAAACCAAGAAAAAATCTTAAAACTTCATGGCCATTTTTATGAATAATATGCATTGTACTAGTTATGGCAAACTCTATTTTATAGTTTAAGATTTGTGAGTAAAAAATATTTTTTTAAATCCTAAGCTCCCAAAACTTCTCCAATCCTTAAATGAAATTATATTTATTTTATTGTCATTCAATAAATCAGTTTTCATTCAAGTATTATAAAGTTTTTTTTATTTTTATTCTTGAACTGCTGTAATCTGAGTTTGCATATCTCTATCACTGATAAGATTTGCCCACTAGTCCATATCAGTATCATTTAGGCACCAAATGCACTTTCTAATTCAGCCCCTCATTCAAGATGCATGTGATTTCACTCAAGTCATTGTGTGCTTTGCTCAAAAGCCTTTAAGACGCCCCAGTTCCCCACTGACATCATATTACCCCCTTTAGACTGGATGAGATGTATTCTACTGTTTGATGTCTTCACCGTGGCTGCTGATTGGAAATCAATATGGCTTAATGAGAATCTTTTAATGAGATTTTCTTACCTTTGCTCGCACACGCAGAGATGGGTGTCTTGATTGAACTTTACAATATCTTGCCCCAGTTTGTGTGTGAAACAGGCTGTGTGTGAAGGCTCAGGTGAAGCAATTATAGCGAGCGGTAGAAAGAAGGAAGATTGCTGGCTCAGTTAAGTAGACTTAAAAGCAGTAATGGAAAACTTGGCTCACAGATCTTGAGTAATGACTTTATTTAATGCTGACGTTAACTTTGCAGTGCACTTTTTTTTAAAATTGCAACTGCAACTGCTGCAAATTGCTACATTTTACTTGGGTTATGCTCTGTCATGCCAGTTGCCATTGAAATCACAGTCGTTTTTAGATTTGCTTAGTTTACATACATTCTTTTGGTTTGCTTACAACATGGTCCATTAAAACCACAGTGTTTGCCTGCTGAGGACTCTGCCACATATAGATTTCCTTGAAGGAAGTTAAAAGTGATGTAGGTTGCACACCACCAGACACACCCTTCCTCCCACAGCGCCTGCTTCTTTCCTAACCGAGTTCTGCTTAATTCACTCTGTACTGGATTCTCCAAGAGAGGATTGCTCAATAGTATTGATGCTGCTGAGACAAATGTACCTCGTACCTAAAGCATTGCTTTCCTTAGACATGTATTGTGTAGGCTACATTTTCCTCCAGCAGGCAAATTTGCTTGTTTGCACAGTCTGAGTTGCTGTTTTTTCCAGACTGTTTCTGTATTTTTTTTATGGTGATGTTTTCTCCATTGATGGGCTCTCCTGTGTATTTGCTTTGAGCACTTGACCATATACTCTGACACTGCTTTATAGGGAAGGACGAATATTTATTGTAGACATACAGTAACATTCAGAAGTTTAGGGTCAGTACATGTTTTACTTTTTTTTTTTAATGAAATGAACACTTTCATTCAGCAAGGACACATTAAACTGATTAAAACGACAGTAAATACATTTACAATATTGCATCACAGAATCCTGAAAAATCTGATTGCAAAATTCTGCTATAATCAGTGAATCTCTGTACATGGCACAATTAATCTCTTATTTACATTGCATCTAAACTCAGGACTGAACAAACATCCCTCTGATTGGCCATTGCTTTCCAGAAATCAACAGATATGTCTGTGATTGGTTACAATGTTCAACACTACAAAAACAGAGTGCAAACACAAACGTACATTGGATTCTGCTGTGAGTTGGTTGCCGCTTACTTTTTACAGTTTGTTGTTTGTTTATTTAGTTATTAAAGTTAAGTTTCTTCCCTGAATCTTGAATTTTGTTACATACAGTACATACATATATATTATCCTTAAATCATCCTGGCGACCCACCTGAGTGTCATGACCCAGGGTTTGAAAACCACTGCATTATAGAATACAAATGATTCTCTGTGCACACTTTCATCTGTAACTGAAGGTTTTTAAGTAATTCCACTCATATATTTGGCTTTCCAAGGACTTGTAAGGTCAGACATTGCACTCATGTGGTGCCTTTGTTTAGAATGAGGCAGCACATGCCATAAGCTAGAGAGGAGCTGATATCTTGAAGAAATGCAAAAACTTCCCCTTCAGCATGTTAGCAGAACCACCAGGCCCCAGAGAACAATGGGGAATCTTTCAACACTGGGGCCCAGACAGGAGCACATGCTTTTGGATTTAAATGAAGGGTTCTCTTGGTCCCTGGCAAAAAGCCCTGTTAAGAGGAACCGGATAGGAGGATAATCGTCCACGCTCTGATGTCATAGGAGCCTCGCTCTATTTGGTTAGTATGCCAGGCACTCTTGAACCTTGAGAGCTGAGAAGAGGTGTATTGAGCTGTGTTTGAATTCTGTATATAAAAGAGAGGGGATGTTTGAGTTTCAGTGACAACAGCTTTTTTTCATTTTCAATGTTGTTGTTTGTTTGTTTTTATCTGCTTTGTTTGTTTTGCTTAGTATTGTTTTTTGGAACCAACCCCAGAACCCAAGAAGCATATTGGCAAAACCCTCTATTAATGAACAACATCCTGTGATTGTGTAGTGCAAGAAATGGTAGAGACCATAAAGAGGAGTGTTGGAAACACTGCATACAAGACATTCCAGTGTAAAAAAAAAAAAAAAAAAGTCAATCCCATTCTTAGGCTTATTTTGCTGCATATCCATATTTCTAGAAACCATACAAGAGAATATATCAATATATTAAAACATATATAAAAAATATATTAAAACAAGTCATGGCTATTTTTTAGTAGTTTACATGGTTTGCATCCACATGCATGCATATACTGTATATGTAGAGTCACATGACAAAGATGCATAATTCGGTAGATTAAAGGGGTGAC